AACTTTTTCTTCATTCATTTTTTTTTAACAAAACAGCCTGGCTTTTATCTTTGTTTTTCAAAACGTTTTAAAACAGCCTGTTTTGAAACGTTTTTTTTTTTTTGCATTATACAAAACATTAGTATATTACTTAGGAGGAAGGAATAATTATTTTTAAGAGATTGTTTTAAAAGATCTTGAAACAATTTTAACCAATCACAATTATAACTAAGCTGAGAAACTAGCTAATTACATTAAATAATTACACTAAGGCCAGTATGTAACAACTAAAAACTTTTATTTATATCAGGCCTTCTCAGGAGATGCATGCGGTCGCACGCCTTGAATGACCACACATATATATTTTTTTGTTGATAACATGGCCACAATTTTTTTTGCATTTATTAAAAATGATGCATCTTAAAAACGCGCTGAAAAAACAAAATTAATTGCTCATCTTTTTTTAATTATTATTAATAATTCATCATTATAGTTATTAATGAGAAAATAGAAACATTAAAATAACATATATAGGCATTTCCATTTTTAACTTACGTTACACGCGCAATAACTTTACCAAATATTAGCTTATTTAAACTTTTAAATTAAACTTTTAGTAATTTTGTATAAAAGCTGTTAGTCTAATAAATAAAATAAGCTTAAAAGTTTTGTGCTCGGCCGAAAGAAAGCAAACTTATTACTAAAAATGCCACTTGCACTGATGTTACACGGAAAACAAGGTAAAAAAACAAATTCAACTTAAAGGTCTCATTTCTGCGAATCAGTAAATCAGTTTGTATTAGAAACTTTTACAAAATGCAGATAATTCTATACCAATTTAAAATTTTTACAAAAACTTTTTTAAAATAAACTTGTTTTTTTGATACTGTATTTTTTACTTAAATTACATCACTTACATTATCGAGCGGTTATCATGATTTTTTTTTATCTATTATTAAGAGTTAGAGTTAGGTAACAAAAGAATTGCATAAGTATTGAACTCATTCATTAAAAATAATTAACAAAGAAATTTTTTAAAAACTGGTGGCACTCTTCCTGAGTGATTTTTCATAACTTTCATGAAAGTTATCAAACCAGAAATAATTTTTTTCGCAAGACCAAAAGTAACTTCAAAAAAATATTTTAGTTTTACATCTTGATTATTACTTAATTGAGTAATTGGTTTGTTGAAGTTTCTATTTACACTTCTTACGTTTATGCGTATTGCTTTATTTTTATAAGATTGAATTTTTATAATGCTGCTAAGAAGAGCCGGCGCGAGTAGGGGTCACGTGGGGGGGGGGGGGTAATGTGCCATAACAACTTTTGCTGTCTTAAAAATAAAAAAAAATAAAAAAAAAGTCCTCGTTTTTTAAAATTTACCGACTGCCATAACGACATTTGCCGACTGACTTAATCGACAAACCATCAACAGAGTCTACATTTGCCGACTAACTAGTCAAAAGGGGTCACATTTGCTGACTAAGGGTCAAATTTGCCGACTAAAAATCATTGATGGGGGGGGGGGGGTCACAACACCCCCCCCCCCACACACACACCCCTCTATCGCGCCGGCTTTGCTGCTAAGTTAAATTTTTAAATATTTAAATCTTTTCTAAACATCTATATGTCCACCAAAATAATAGTACATAAACAAACAAACAAAAAAAAATAAAATAAATAATTTTAATACATATGAAAAAAAAATTTTTTTTTTTTTAATTCTCCTTATATAAAAAGTTTCAGTTAAAACCTTGTCAAGCCAACAGGAAGAAATAATAATTTCTTAATGACGTAATTGCGGCAGTGGTGTAGTGGTAAGAGCGCTCGCTTTGTAAGCGAGAGGTTAGGAGTTCGACTCCCACCACGTCCCTGGAAGTACCGCGCTCAACTTAGTTTCTCCGCGGAGCGGCCTTGCTTGTCAAGGTTCGTGTTTCGGAGTTAAAGAGTTGAGAGAGGGTTGTACCACGAAATACAACAAAAAAGTAAAAAACACAAAAAAATGAGTAGCCTCCTCGACTGTAGTGGCCCCCTCGGGCCTTGGGGAGGTGAATAATGTAAAAAAAAAAAAAAAAAAAAAAAAAAAAAAAAAAAAATTCATTTAGTAAATAAAAACTTAACGAAAAATCGCCAGAATTTTATTAAATGCATTTTATTAAAACAAATAAAAATATATATATTTATATATTATTTTTATCTTTTTATTTTATCATTAATTACAAATATATACATGTGCATTATTGTTAGGTTTTAATTTTCTCATAAATAATTGTAATAATAAATTATTATTAATAACAAAAAACCAATAAGATGACTAATTAGTTTGATTTTTTCAGTGCGTTTTAAAAATGCGTCATTTTTAATAAATGCAAAAAAAATTGTGGCCATGTTATCAACAAAAAAATATATATGCGTGGTCATTCAAGGCGTGCGACCGCACGCGTCTCCTGAGAAGGCCTGTTATATATATATAAATAAATATAATTCTAATGGCCAAAGAAGATAAATAATATATATAACAATCATAGTTACAACATAAGATATGTATAATGATGGTTTTGACAGAAAACACGATGAACAATTCAGGATTGTCTTCAATTATGTTACTGTGTTCTAATTATGTTGATTTAAATGCTTGTGTAACTAAGTGGTACGAATAGGGGAAGAAAGTGTCAAGTCTTTGAAAAGATTAATGGCATAGAAAAGTTGAGTTTGAGTCTTGCTTAGTACCTAGCAATATTTTCATAATAATTTACAAAGGATATTGTCAAAAAATCTGTTAAATGTTTTGAGTTCAGTAACAAAAATAAAAGACAAAAAGTTTTCTGTTGTCACGTAAATCTTTTCTTGAGGATTTCTGTTGATAATAATGCCTAAAAATTTAAACGATTAAAGGTGAAATTAAGCATCTTTTGTTGGTTTGTTTTTAAAATCTTATTTTTGCTTATAATATTTACTATAATAATTGAAAATAATGTTTAACTGTATTTAAAATAGCTTACAATTTTTTCTTTTTCCTCTTGTTCTTTCAAAGCCTTTTCTTTTTCTGCCTTTTCTTTAGCTTCCTTTTCTTTTTGCTTTTGAATCTCTTTTTGTTTTTGTTCTGCTTCAATAGGCTTTGAAACAACAGGTTTAGCGATTGGTTTGCTGTTAGGTTTAACTTTTTTGTCAACTTTTTTTGCAGATTTCCCTGAATAAAATAATTGGCAATATGAAAAAAGGAAACAAAAAGTAAATCTTGGTTTAAAACTTTTTTTAAAAAGAAATATCCGGAAAAAAAATCTCAATAAAAAAAGTTATTAAATAAAGAACACGTGAAACAGAAATCCACTAAACTATGTAATTAATTCATTTTGCTATGCTTACAAGCAATCTGGATAATCTAAAAATATCCTAATCACAAAATTAGAAAAAAGTTTCAACCAATAAAGATTTCTAAAAAATGTTGTATAACAACAGTGTCAAAAAAAAGTACAGATTAATATATATATTTGTTCTATTTTTATTTTAACTGCTTTGTTTAAAATTTAACTAAATTTTTATAAACTTTTAGAAACCTTTTAAATACAAACCTTTTTTTTTTTCATTTTTATTTTAATTATTTATTTAGAATTTAAATAGAATGTTTGCTTTGTATTTTTTATTTTAACTATTTTGCTTAAAAATTAAATAAAACAATCCTTATGCCATTTTTATTTTAGTTACTAAAAAATTAGAAATTGTGTGTGTGTGTGTGTGTGTGTGTGTGTGCGCGTACATGTGTTTTATTTAATTTAGAATTTAACTAAAATTTTCCTTTTTTTGTTTTCATTTTAACTATTTTATTTAGAATTTAAATAAAACATTTGATTTACTGTTTTTATTTTGATTACTTTTAAAGAATTAAAAAAACAAACTTTTATCTGCTTTTACCTGATTAATCTTGAACTTAAATAAAATGTTTGTTTTGCAATTTTTTCAAAATCATTTTATTCAGAGTTTAAATAAAACGTTTGTTTTTTTGTTTTTATCTTAATTATGTTATTTAAAATTTAAATATAACGTTCTTTGTGCTGTTTTTAACTTTTTTGAAACAGCAAATAAGGTGGGCAATTTTTTGCCAACCTCAGACACTGTCAGGTTGGCAGTTAAGTCAACATTGTCAAATGACAACCTTAATTCCTAAAATCTAAAATAAAAAATTTATAATAAAATTTTTATTTGAGACTTGGGTGAACAGAAAAGTACATTTTTTAACTAAAAACAAAAAATTAAGAATTAAACAAGACTTCTTTTATCAATGCTTTGTTATAAAAGGAATATTATTTTCAAAATTTTTATATAATTTTACTTCATTTGAGACCAAACATGACATACTTTAGAAAAACTTTTTTTTTAAATAATATTATGGACCTATTTAATGTTTGAGGGTAGGTAGCAACCCTTTAAAATCTTTTTAATTCAAAAATCTTTTACATCCAATATTTCTTTATTATATAAATCGTATTCAGGGGTTGCCAGCAGCCATTTTAAAAAAAAGTTTTTTTAGAACCACCCTAATATATATATATATATATATATATATATATATATATATATATATATATATATATATATATATATATATATATATATATATATATATATATATATTTATATATATATATTTATATATATATACATATAGCATCCTAGTTGGCGACTTTTGTGGACATGTTATTTTTGTTCCCATTCTGTTGTTGTTGTTTTTTTACTTTTTTTATACTATTTTTATCATATTTATTTTTTTTAATTTTTTATTTTATTTCTATTTTTATTTACACATATTTAAATTTATTATTTTATTATAAAAATTTATTTTTTATATTAATTTTTGTTTTTTTATTTATTTATTTTATATTATATTTCATTTTCAACTTCATCTATTTGCAAAAACGATTAATTACAATAATATAAAAAAACTTAAACCTTGCCAGAACCCTAACCCTAAGCCTGACCTTGATGCCTGGCCAAACCAAACCCTCAGTCAATGTAGCAGCACTCCCTTGCGAGTCAGGCTATTTGTTAGTCGATGTATGTACTTTTTGTACTCTATAAAAGTTTCTTACGGGTACATTTTTTTACAAAAAAAGTCATGCTTACGGGGACAAAAAATTAACGGGTACACTAAAATGTCCGCGATAATGCTAATGTCTCTGTAAGTGTTAGTTATTTTGTAAAATCTGCCCCAGTAAGTGCTAAACTATACAAATATATATATATATATATATATATATATATATATATATATATAAATATGAAAGTGATGTACCAATATCACATTTTTGGCCGATGCCAATGGATGGGAAAAGGCCGATACTGATGCTGATGAATTAACTAATTATTAAACAGAGTTGGACCGGTTCATCTGCTAAACTTGAGCCTCTTTCCCATCGTTGTAAAGTTGTATCTCTTTCTTTTTTCTACAAATACTATCATAATGGTTACTGCTCAAAGGATCTTTCTTCTCTAGTTCCATCAATCAAAACTCATTCTCACCTGACTCATCATTCATCAAAGTCTCATTCTTTTAGTGCATCTGTCTTTTCATGCTCCAAAAACTTTTATTTGTCTAGCTTATTTCTCAGGACTTCAACCCTTCTGAACTCTGTCCCATCTTCATGTTTTCTGACTCATACAACCTTCAACTTTTTAAGTCTTCTGTCAATCGTTTCCTTGCTCTATAACTCTACTCTTTTTTTCTAGCAACGTGATAGTGGTTGTTTGCAGCTTTGTTGGGAGTAAAAAAGAATTTTAAAAATGTTACTTTTAAAGCTTTTGGCTGTAAACAAAGTCAAGATAAAAATTATCCAAAAATTTTTAAGTGATGCATAAAGTTTAGCTTATTTATTGTTTAATTATTATAATAATGCACAATAAATATACATCACAGCAGCTCTTTGCAAAATATTCTCATTTGACATAAGCATCAACATACAAATGTTTGGAGTTTGCACAATGCCTGTAAGTGTCAAAACTCAAACATTTAAAAATCCAGTGTACACCTTTGATATGTAAATATATATATATATAAATATATATAAATAAATATAACATTTGTTAATAAATATAATATTTGTTGTAACAAAAATAATGTTTGTTTTAACAAAAATAGGAAAATGTTTTTTGAACCTCATTGACATCCACTTTCCAGTTAACCACAGACTTCGTAAAATATTTAATAGAAACACAATCAAAATTAGTTATTCCTGCATGCCAAACATTAAACCCATTATCAACTATCACAATAAAAGCATTTTACATAAGGAGGCAAAAATTATTGAAAAGAAATGCAACTGCATTGACAAATCAAAATGTCCAATGATCAACCATTGCATTTCCGACAACATAGTTTATCAGACCACTGTCTATTCAAACAATTTGGAATAAAAAGAAAAAGTGTATTTTGGATTAAGCGAAATATCTTTTAAAGTTTGATATGCAAACCACTTAAAATCTTTTAATGCAATTAGATATAAGAATCATACAGAGTTATCAAAAGAAGTATGGAAATTAAAAGAAAAAACTTTACACCTTTTGTCAGATGGAAGATTATTAAGCAATGCAACCATACAACCCAGCATCAAGAATTTGCAACCTATGTTTGAACGAGAAGTTTCAAATTTTGATGTGTAGACACAAAAATAAGTTCCTTATTTCCTCATTTGATACTGAAGATTGTTCCTGGTTCATGTCACATTTACGTGACGTTATACTTTTAAAATTTTACCGCCAATTTTGAAGTTTATATATAATCAAAATAAATTTCCTAAATATATATATATATATATATATTTTTTTTTTTATTTTAATTCACCTCCTCAAGGCCGAGAAGGCCACTACAGACGAGGAGGCTACTTATTTGTGGTTATAACCCTCTCTCAACTCTATAACTCTGAAACACGAACCTTGACGAGCAAGGCCGCTGCGCGGAGAAACGAGTTGAGCGCGGTACTACCAGGGACGTGGTGGGGATCGAACTCGGAACCACTCGTTTATGAAGCGAGCGCTCTACCACTACACCACTACCGCATATATATATATATATATATATATATATATATATATATATATATATATATATATATATATATATAAAGGATATAAATATATCGTTTATGTATATATATATATATATATAAAGGATATAAATATATCGTTTATACATATATATATATATATATATATATATATATATATATATATATATATATATATATATATATATACACATACAGGGCCTATTCTAGAAAAAAAATTTGGGAAACGGTACCTCTCATCCTGGTGAAATTTAGCAAAAAATCAGCATTTTTTTTGAAAAAAAACAAACAAACAATATTTACTGCTAAAAAATAAAAAGGTCCTTAAACTTTAATTCGAGCGGTGCCCAAATACGGTTGACGCAGTTGAAACAGTCTAGAATAGCCCCTGATATATATATATATATATATATATATATATATATATATATATATATATATATATATATATATATATATATATATATATATATATATATATATATATATATACACACACACACACACAGTATTGACAGAAAGTTTGAGGCAGGTTATGAATTTATTCTGTAAACTTTCAAATATATTGAAATAGTTTATTTTTTTGACTTCAATGAGTGAGAGATTATTTGCAAATCAGTATGTTTTTATGCACGATTACCCAAAACATACCAGCGAGCTCTGCAAAAGCTATTTAGAAGATCTTCAACACCAGCAAATACTAAGGGATTCCCTAATTTTTCTTTCAAATTTATTAGAATTCAATGCTAAAACTTTAGCATCAGTCCAGTAAATATTTCCATTACAAAGTATTTTATGGTTTGATACACCAGAATTACTCCATTTTAATTCATAAATCAACTTTTGGTGTTGTAAAAGTTGAATGAAGATTTTCAAACCAATTTTTTTGCAACCATTTTCAGCAAGCACTTGTATTAGAAAATCAATTTCTTGTAGTAAATATTACTACTGCAAACCTTATAGACTCTATAAATGAAACCAGTAATGATACCAAGAACTTTTGGATCATGTCCCAAGTTTGGCTTAAATTAGGTATTGGAAATTGCATCTTTCCAGTGAATCTTAAACTTAGCCATTTTTGTTATTGGTAATATTAATATATAAAAAACTGAGTAATTTATTTTCATCTTCAAGTTCCCTTGTTCTATATTAGCTTGTGTGATTAAATCAACTTGTACATGACTACCATCTATCCATCATGCACTACCATCTACGCATCGTAAAAAAAACAAAAGCAATGTTACCATAAAAAAATGTTACCATAAAATGTTATCATGTTACCAAAATGTTATCATAATGTAAAATATCAAATGTTACCATAAAAAAATCAACTTGTATTTTTACAAAATAATTCCAACATCTTTAAGAATATGCATGCTTTTAAAAACAAAGAAAGCAATAAAATTAACTAAAAGGTACCATTTTCAACTTTTTTTTAAATTTAGCATTAAAAACAACGCTAAAAAAAAGAGAATTTTCTTTTATTACAAATAATAAATTGAAAACATTAAAAGACAGATTTAATTAAAGAAAACACAAAACAACAACTAGCAAGGACTAGAACTATTCGGTGTTGGATAAACTACAGGAAAGTATGTTTAACTTGAGTTTAGCAAAGTTGAACAAATAGTACCGTTTATTTAACAAATAGCATTATTTGTTTAGCGAATAGTACCACTCATTTATCAAATAGTAAATAAATAGTACTATTTGCTTAGAAAATAGTAAATAATAAAAAAATTTAAATAATAAAAAAAGACTAAAGATTAAAGACTAAAAACTGAAGTATTCTTGTTATCTCTAACACTCTAGCTGACTTTCAAAACATTGATAGAATTACAGAAAAATTTAAGGAAACTACATTCCTACATCAAGAGAAAATTTAAAAACAAATTTTGAAAAATTAATGTAAAACATTTTATTTCTACAAGATATTTAAAATAAAACAGTAAAACCTGCATTGCTAAATTTATGTGATGACATTCCACAACATCATAAATCTTTTTTTATTGATTCAATGTGATTGCCATCACATCAAATAGTAATATAAAAACTTTTTTACAATATGTAGATGACAGTCACATATGAGTTGAATCAATTGAACAAGCTAACAAGTTACTTGATATTCTCAATCAACAAAATACTAGCCTTAAAAAAACAATGGAGTTTGAAGATAAAAATAAATCACTCAATTTTTTAGATATTAATATTACCAATAACACCAGTACAAAATCACCAGTACATGTTCAAGATTACTAATATCCAAATTAAACCAAATTCGGGATATGATTCAAAACAGGTGTTTGAAAACCAATGATGTGTTTTCTTCAGATCAGAAACTGATACCAATACAATATTTTCTTTTAAAGAGTTTTTTTTAACACATTTTGTAAAAATATTCAATTTTTTAGTCTGATGATAAGACCTAGATAATATCTAGTGGTTTCAAAATATTATTATTAATATAGTTGTTTTGAATGTCTCTATAAAAAGAGATGATTTATAAAATAATTCAGCATAAACATATGTTCAAGATACATTTAAAAAAATATTTTAAAATCATTATTTTTATTATCAATTAATTAATATCTAATTTAAAATAAAAAAATTCTTTAAAGTTTTCCCTAACAAAATTTTAAAACTTATTTTTTATTGTACAATGCACAAATACAGGCCATACAACTTTTAATTTTATTTTCCCTGACTAAAATAAAATTTTCCTAAATTTCAGATGTAAATTTAATAAATGGAGGGTCATTCCATATGAAATCATCCAGACCATGATACCCTTACATCTCAGAATTTGTTTATTTTTTCATCACTTGCAGTCCATATTAAAAAATAATAACTATGAAAATTTTAGTTAAAAATACAATGAGTTCTAGAGATATTGTCAGTTGAAATAATGCTGACTCAGCATTTTAGTGATTATCTGAAATGACTACAAAGCAACTTTGTAGTATCTTCATAAAGGCTTGAATAAAGTTCCTTAGTATCTTCATAATGGCTTGAAGAAATTTCCTCAAATTTGGTACCCCAATAGAGTTTTACTTGAGGAATCCAAAAATAGCACCCTCAAGACTCGAGTGTCTTAGAAAATGCCTCATTTATTCAATTTTGTTCAAAATTATTGACTTGTAAATTCATGATTTTTGGAGGTAAAATGAAGACTGTGGCCCAAAATCTTGAGTACATAAAACAAGAGCTAGCTTTTTCAGAAGAATGTTCGGTATTCCGTCAGGACCATAAGATGTACTTGGTTTGAGATTGATTAAAGTTGAATAAACCGTCTCAACAGAAAAATTAATGTCTTCAATGTTTATCGAGTCGTTAACAAAACTAGTAATATTTGGTGAATAGTTGTTATCGTCTGTAAATACACTTCCAAAGTGTTTATTAAAAACTTCAGCCGTTTCTTTGTTGCTAGAAGTTAACTTGAAATTATAGTCTTTGTTCTTTATAGGGTAGTTCTCTTTATGATTATTTATTTATTATTAACATAGTTAAAGAACTTACTGAGTTTATGGTCATCAACTAATTTGAGTTCGATTCTTTTGAGATAAGCAAACAAGGTTTGTTTACATTTGGCGTATGTTTTTTAAGCTTGTTTATGTAGAATGGTTTTATTAACGGAATTTCTTTTCCATAAAAATAATTTTCGACTTAACATTTTATTGATATATTTAGGGTAATGATGACTTTTTTTACTATGACGTATTTTTCTTACCGGAACAAAACGGTCAATCCCAATTCTCATATGATTATAGAAAATGTTCCAATATTCATCAATATTGAATACATAAGAAAACTTGTAGTCCCAATTAATATTTGAAAGGTAAATTAGAAAGTTATCTATATCAGCATTGATGAAATCATAAAAATATTCTGATTTCTTTTCGTACTGATATTTATCATTAATGTTTAAAAAAAATGGACTGAGTTATGGTCGCTGATACTAAAAGGGCACTCAACAGAAATTTTACTTAAAAGAGCATTGTTATTAGAAAAAACAAGGTCTAAAATATTGGATTCGCGTGTTGGTTCGTTAACAAATTGATGCATACCAAGACTATTGACAAGAGTTAAAAATAAGCTATGACATTTTTCGTTCGGTGAGATGTAGTTTAGCCAGTCAATTTTTGGAAAGTTAAAATCACCCACAATAATAAATTGAGAAACTGAGTAGCACAAATAATTTATAATTGACATCATAGAGACGAGATAGTCAAAATCTATTTTGGAATAAGAAGGTGGACAATAGCATGTAATTAAATGAAGTTTCAGGGTTCCAAAGACTAAGTCAATGCAGATAATATCAACATCATTATTGTTTTGAGTAATTGCAACTTGTTCGGACTTGTCATGTCAAATAAATTTAAAAAAAAAAAAAAAAGTCCTCTTATTTTAAATAGAATTTTTTTACTAGAACATTACCCCCTGAATATATAAAAACCTATAGTATCACTTATAGGGACATATTTTACAAAAAACAAACACTTATGGGGACATTAGCATTATCGGGGATATTTTCGTGTCCCTGTTAATTTTTTGTCCCCGTAAGCATTGTTTATTTGTAAAAAATAATGTCCCCATAAACAAATTTTTATAGAGAACAAAAAGTACATATATATATCGACTATCAAATAGTTTGACTCGCAGCAGAGAACGACTGAGGATTTGGTTTGGGTCAGCATCAAGGTCAGGCATCAAGGTCAAAAAAAATAAATTTATATATCTATAAATAAAAATAAATACATGATAAAAATTAAAAAAATAATTATATTTATGATAAAAATAAAACATGTAAATTTTGATTGTTCAGTCAAATAAGGTTTTTTTTGATTTTAATATTACAAAATTGTACTTAAAATCATAAAAAATTACTTTAAAATCTTATGACTTTACAAAAAAAAAAAAAAATTAAAAAAAATTCTTAGTTCAGGACCTTGTTAAGCTGTGTTAAATGCATGCATGTATGCATTTTATGCACAAAATAGCAATTTAACATACTCATTAAGCCAAAACTTTTATTTATTAGAATATATAAATTGTTTTTTTGATAAAGTTTACCTAATGTATATTTTAAAAAAATTAAGCTGTAACTAATTATAGTAAAAAAAAAAACAGATTGTTAAACAAATTTTTCTTTATGTAAAAATTCCCAAACTGAGTTATAAAAAAGAAAATGCTTCAAAGTTAAACTTTTCATCATATGGTTTTAAAAACTAAAGATTTAAATTTAATTTTGAAGAAATGTAAAATGGTTTTGCAATTTTTTTACATTAGGAATAATAGTTTTTCTTACTATTACTATTATCATTGAACAAGAAAAGTTGAAGGCCATCATAGATTCATCATAAAGTTGAAGGCCATCATAAATTAAAATGTGTGAAAGCAACCAAACAACATTTTTATGTTTTAAGAAAGGAGAAGTATTATTGTTTAAGAAAATATTTTAAAAACTGAAATAAAATTTGTTTCTTACTAATTCTATTTTAATAACACAATATCACAAAAAGTTCTTATGACAAGTTTTAATTATGAACACATTATGAATTATATTTACAAATACCTTATTGGTAACTGATAAAATCTATCTATAAATTGTTTCTAATCTTAATCAAAAATAGTTTACCATACAAAAAATTATTTAGTTACATATAAGACTGTTTTAAGAAATAAATAATAAGAAAATATAAGTATTTTCAAATACTGAATTTAGATTTTGTTAGTAATTTTTTTATACTTATATTGTTTAAATGATTTGCAATCCTTACAAATATGCAAATGATGCAACTTAGCATCAATATAAATATGAGTTGAGCTACATTTACACGCATTAAACTTTTCTGATACGCCATAAAATTTTATAACAAGGCCTGTTTGAAGTTTTTTTGTAATTGATATATTGCTACCTCTATCACTAGAAGAACTGCTGCTGCTTGAAGACCCACTACTTGATGAGGAACTTCTACTTGAACGACTTGATCTTGATCCTGAAGAGCTTGATCCTGAACGTGAACTTGATGATGATCCACTGCAAAATATTAAATGAAGTATATATTGAATATCAATAAATTCATGTTTCTTGAACTAAAAAAAATTTAGAGTTAGGCATGAGCTAGATGTTTGTGAAAGTATTTAACTTGTTATACAGTAACAAAAAACAAAAAACAAGAACAACAAAACAAACACAAAAAATTGAATGAGTGATTCATTTAAATTATCTAATATATATAAATTTAATAATAATAATATTTAATAATATATATAAATTTAAAAATAATGATATTTAATTATATATAAACTTAATAATAATAATATATATAAATTTAATAAGAATAATATTTAATAATATATATAAATTTAAGACATACAAATTTAATATATAAAATTTTGTTATTTCAATAATATATATATATATATATATATATATATATATATCAAGCTTTCCCAGGAAAGGCGTGCAGCAGCACGCTTTGTTTGTCCACCCATAGAATAAATTTTTCTGACTAACTGACCACGTTTTATTATTATGAGTTTCAAGAATTCGCGCCAAAACAAAGCTAAACGAAAATACCGCAAAAATGCAAGCAATGCTAAAGTAAATAACAGAAATCTGTTTGTGCTTTAAAATTAAAAAAATAATGTATATTATTAAAACAAAAATTTACCTATATTTCATTTATTTATTTTTTCTTGTTTTTTATGGGTGGTAGTTATTTCAGATATGAAAAATCAAATTAATACAAATCAAGGAAAAAGAAAAAGATTATTGTTTAATAAAAATAAAAGGACATTTTTTGTAATAAAAGGACAAAATTTGTTTATGACTTTTATCAGTCAGTAATACTTTAAAATTCACGATAGAACTATAAACAATTTTTAAATTTATGTTTTTAAATGTTTCATAAATACATTTAAATGTTTAAATGTATTGATACGCAAGAGAGTGGGAAAACGATTGCTATTTATTTGTAAAATATGTTTTTTTTATTTTCAAATGAAAGAAAATTTTCTTGTCAAACGATTGAGTTGCTTATTTTGTAATCATTAATTGATATTGTGAACGAGTGTTAATAATGTCACGAGGGAACTGTTTTTGTAACTATGACAACAGAAGCAATGCAATTATTTTTTTAACTTCTTTTGTAATTACAAAATTATGCAATTGAATAATTTCAACGTAATAAAAGGCAAGAATTGACTCAGTATAATCAGTTAAGAATAAGTCGAGAGAGTTTTTTCACATTAAAATCTTGTTATGTTTAATAATAAACAGCAGTTTATTTTCTTGTCTAAGTATTGGAGAATAATGCCATCGCCTTTGCATAAACCTTTGTAAAAAGTAAATTAAATAAAAAAGTTTAACCAAATTTGTCTAGCATAAATAATGAATCAGTTTTTTAATATATTGTCTGATGAAGTTCGTAAATAAATTACGTATCAAGTCTTTTTATTTTCGTGAAAATTTTATGATTTATAGTCGTCTTTTCCTTGACTTATCAAATTTCATAGCTGAAAATAGCAACCCTAAAAAAAGAAAAAACAGTATAAAAATTTTGAAAAAAATGTTCAAGACTTTTTTTTTTTTTGTTACAAGAATTTTTTTTTTGTTAACTTTTTTTTTATTATCAAAATATTTTTCTTACATCCAATTTCAACTTTATACTTAGTTTAGACTTCGTTTCCTTTTTTTAGCATTATTTTTTATTCTCTGTGGATAAGTTCGGCTTTCCCGCGAAATATTGCCGTGGTCACGTTTTCTGAAAATTTATTCTATACGTGGACAAACAAAACGTGCGACCGCACACCTTTCCTGGGAAAGCCTGATATATATACATATACATATATATATACTGAAACAATTAAAAGAATGCGATGGAAAGCGTTTTTCTTTTTAAAATATGGATTAAAAACATCTAATCAACCAAAACAAATTACAGAAATGCTAGCTTTCGTGAAAGAACTCATTAATCTTGTAAAACACATTAAGTTTCGATAGGTAGGCCGCAATTTCCAAAATAAATTAAAACAAGATATAAACAATATTCGAAAATTTAATCTAATTTATAATCTAGGTATGCTGATAAAACTTATAATCTTTACAAATTATCTAAAAATGATTATAACCACTTGTTAAGAAATGACATCACTTCAAATTACAAATTATCTAACAAAATAAACTTAGAAGGTAAACGTCTTTTGAAAAATCATGAAGTTATCAATAAAATTGACAATACAGCTTTCAATTTATTTATCACCTTAAAAGACCATAAAGATAATTTTTAAAACAATCCGACTGTCTGTTTATTGAATCCTGCTGAAAACAAAGTTGGCAGAATTAGTAAAGATATTCTTTCTAAAATTAATACAGATCTAAAAAAATAGATTATAATTAAATCAATGGAAAAACACTTGAAATGTTATCAATTGTTTTAAGGCTATAAAATATAAACAAACTTTTGATATTATTGACTTCTACCATTCTACCAGTGAAACAATTCTAAAAAACTCTATGAACTTTGTGAAGCAACAGATAACATTAAATAAAGAGAACATATCATTTTTTATGCAAAAAACTCTTTGCTTTTTAATAATGATCAAGTTTGGATAAAGCAATCAAATGGTTTATTCGATATTTCTATGGGAGCATTCGACAGCGCTGAGGTTTGTGAGCTGGTAGGAATATTTTTTCTTTTTCAAATTTCAAAATTTTACAACAAGTTTGAGGTTGATAGATACCGTGACGATGGCTTAGCAGTTTTTAGTAATAAAAGCGACCCTCAAATGGAAAAAATAAAAATGCATATTGCTGAAATATTTAAATGCAATGGCTTACAGATTTCTATACAATGCAACAGAAAATTGTCAACTACCTCGACGTAACTCTAAATCTTAGTGACTGCACTTTTAAACCTCATTTCAAACCTTATAATACATTGAATAACATCCATGCTGATTCAAATCACCTGCCAAGTATACTAAAACAAATCCCACATACAGTTGAACTTAGATTGTCTACAAATTTTTCTAACAAAGAAATATTGTAAAATACTATTCCTCTATATAATAAAGCTAAAAAAGTCTGGTTATAAATGTAGTCTAGCATATAATCCTAAAGCAATATAAACTCCAAAACTGAACAGAGCTCACAACATCATTTGCTTTAACCCTCAGTTTAGCAAAAATGTTAGCACCAACATGGAAAAATATTTTTTGAAACTAATTGACAAACATTTTCCTAATAATAACTGCATAAAACTTTTAAAAAGAACACAGTCAAAGAACTCATTCCATTGTTTTTTTGTTGAATTTTATACAGTTCTTTAATTGTATTTTTGAACAGTTTTTTCTTGATTTAAATATATGGCTGATGAATGCTGATGAAATATATGGCTGATGAGTAGCTGATGAATGGTATGAAACTTTAAGCTCCATAAAAAAGTTTTTTTTTTTTCATATTAAGTTTTATTATTTTATTTGCATGGTCAGCTATTGCTGACCATGCAAATAATTTTATTTTTTGACAACTCGACCATGATTGTTTAATAAACAATGTTTATATGTTTTGGTGAGTTAAAAATTTCAGAAATGTTCTGATTGTAGAAAAAAAGAAACGAAAAAGAAATTCATAACAAAAAAGAAATTATATAAGCACTAAAATGAAAATAAAATTTTAACTAATTTCATGCTCTAACTAGTGAGTCTAATTAAAAAAAAGGTTTTGAACTTTTTTATTCGTAAAAATAGAAAAAAAAATCAAAGAAATAAAATGCACCTGCGATTTAAATAAAATAAACTGCCAACAAGCTTTTTAATTTAATTTTAATTTGAGCACTACAAATTTAATAAGTGCTTTGCGTAACGAATTTAAAAATTATTATAAAAGATTTAATCTCATTCATTTCTAACAAAATTGAAAAAAAAAAAAAAAAATTGTTTACAAAAAATAAAATGTTTATTTAATTACATTTTAAAAAATCGTAAGTTTAATCATAAAAATGCTTTGAAACTTTTTCATTAAACCAACAAAATACATGCTTATATAAGTAAATAAAGTTATTTTATATTCTTGTGTAATTCACATAAAATGTGTAAAAGTTGTCGTCACAAAAGCTTTTGAACTTATTCACAAATTAAAGTAACTTAAAAAAATTCTTTCTAAAAATAATGGTTTAAAAATGTTTTAGGAAGACATAAGAAAATAGTTTCAAATGTTTATATTTATCAGAAAAAATAAATGCCTACATAAAAAAAAACTTATTTAAAACGTTTTTTATTAATTTACACAAGCGTTTATGTAAACTATAACTATAACTAATTTTATGGTTTTATTTGAAGCCTAAAAACAAAAAACTTTAGAAAAGATCAATGATTAAAAGATATTTATAACGTAACACTTTTTTTGTTGCATTCAAATTGTTAAAACATCAAAAAAGCTGTGGTCAAGTTGTAAAGAAATAAAAATATTAGCGTGGTCAGTTACAGAGCCATTCCTGCGCAAGCCTGTATATATGTATGTATATATGTATATATATGTATATATATGTAGGGTTGTTCGCCGAAAAACAAAACTTACGAAAATTTCGCATTTTTATCTTCCGTAATAGAATTGTTATTGCGGAAGTTGCACATGCGAAAATGCACATTCCGTAACGCTCTATACGAAAATATAAATAAATAAAATTCCGTAATAACGCATTACGAAAGAAGACTTGCGAAACAAATCATTTCGTAAGAATACTTACGAAATAGTTCATTACGGAAGGAGCATTCCGGAAAGTGCAGTTACGAAAAAGACGCAAAAGATTTTATGTTACGATATATTTAAGATATTAACTGTTAACAGTTTAAATAATAAATAATAAAATTATAAAAAAATGTTGTCAAATGATTCTTCAAATGTTTATACAAATATACCTTTTATATATATATATATATATATATATATATATATATATATATATATATATATATATATATATATATATATATATATATATATATATATATATATATATATATATATATATA